GTCCCCCTCTCGCGGTTTCCGGTGCCAAACCGCTATCCCCCACTCGCCGACACTCCCGTTGTGAGTAGGCCGCTGGTCATCGGCGACTCCGTCCTACGGAATGTGAAGCTGGCCAACTCTACGGCTGCGATCTGCCTCCCCGGGGGGGGGGGGGGGGGGGGTGGATCTGGGGCCCAGCGGGTCCCAACTGTTTGTGGCCGGTAGTGGTCCCTACCCTCAGAGACTGGGTGTGACCATGGAGACCAGCCCGGAGAGCCCGAACCGGGCGGTGGAGTACCTCCTGGAGCTCAACAACATCATTGAGAACCAGGCCAAGCTTTTGGAGACCCAACGCCGCCGCATCGAAGAGCTCGAGGGTCAGCTGGACCGGGTCAGCCAGGAGAACCAGGGTCTCAGGCAGGAACGTGGCCCGCGGACGCCAGGGTCGGAGACCTCGGAGCAGAACCACAGCCACGGTCAGCCTGTGTCCCTGCCCGTCCATCATGGCAGCGGTGGAGGAGGTGGAGCCAACAGTGGGACCGGGAGCACACCAACAGCCCAGGCCCCCCCGGGTTCAGCCACCACCCCGGGTCCCAGCAGGGAGAGGAAGGCTCACTCCAGACTGACCCGAGGCCTCTCCTGTGGATCCTCCACCACTGAGCGAGAGCGACTGGAGCGCACCGACAGCACGGACACCAACGCCAGCTCCACCGCCCATCGAAAGTAAGTCATCCGTCTTTGACCACATTATGTAAAAGTTTCGGAGAAGCTCGTCGAAAATGGTACTTGACTCGAGTACGAGTTCTGGTAATTACAGACCATGCTTTCAGTGAGCTGCCAAAAGTGCTGGAGCAGATTTCACTACATTATTCCGTATGCAAATCCTGGGCGATAATGGGCGTAGGAGTGGTGTAAAAGACTGGAGAACTGGACCTGGGAACAGAGGTTAGCTGTGTTTGTCAGTTTCTTGTTTCATAAAACTTTTTAAAAACCGTTAATGTGTAAAAAAAAGAAATTCCATCAACAGTTTTTTATTTCCTCAGTTAAAGTTTCTTCTGATTTTACATCTCATCCCATTTCATTGTTTCTCATCAGCCTCATATATTATATTTACACATATATTTATGCTAATATATAAATGTCTGCGCCGGGTGTGTGTATGTGTTCTAACAGTAAGAGAAAAAAGAAAAAGAATGTTAGCTTAATGTCGTAAAGCTAACACGTTGTGCAGCTAAGCTCACTGAAAACAGCACTTGTTTGCGAGTTAATTGCGCGCTGCCTAAACCCGTCCAACGTTATTTGGAGACTGATGGATGTGACATCTTCTTGGAGGCTTTTCCCAGCGGCCCATCAGCTTGTGAATGATGAAGGAAGTAAAAATGGAATATGGGCGTTTAGTTCCTAAAGCTCCTAAATCCCAGATTTGGACGAGGCAGTGTTCATCTGTCCTCACTTCATCGCAACCAAAAACAGAGAGACAGAGTCTGTGTTTGTTTTGCCAGCGCTGAGCTTTGTGAATAGGCTGTTAATAATGTGGAAAACCTACAGAATGAGTAAAACTCTGTGACCGTGTACTTCCTGTTATCACTTGAATTTTTTTTCCTTGGCTCAAATTTTTTCCGTCAACAATCGAATCAAACCTGCAGTTGTCTTACATCTTATTTACTTTGTTGAAGAAGTCCAAGTTCTGGATTCATGAACTCCAGCAGTTCCTGCACGTTCCTCTGTGGGGACGGTGTTCTTTGGGTCATAAGTAGCTCCTTTCTTTCTGCAAACAAAGGCAACAACTTGAAGTTGAAGTTTGATGTAGGCCGTCCTTTTTCTCCTTTGTGTCTCTTCTTTGATTCTCCCTCCTACCTCCCTCCCTCCCAGTGTCTCCCCCTCGGTGGTTGATTCAGACTTGACTAAACCCGTCATTCATTGGAGACGTCTTTGTCTCCACTCCTGATGTCTCCCGTGTGCCTGCTCATCCCTTAGGGACGTCTTAGTCACCAGACAGAAGAACGTGTTGGTTATTGCTGTGGGCGGTGATCGCCGTGAGGTTCTAGAAAATGCAGATCTCCTCGGTCCTTGTTACTCAGTCACGGTGGCTGCAGATGACTCTGGATCCAGGCACAGACCACGGTGCCATCTGAGACGTCAGAGTTAATGAAGAGTCACCCACACGGGTGAGCCATATTGTCTGGGTCTGGCTGTGACTTAGTCCCACACAAAACCGGCCGATTAGCTCAGGTCA